GGTCGAGTTGGAGGTCGGAGTCGCCGCTGTACCTGCCGGTGTGGTCGATGCCGTGCTCGTCGCATATCACCTCCCAGAACTTGGCGCCGATCTGGTTCCCGCACCTAATGTTGTTCACGGAGAAGGAGAAGGGGCTGCAACGCGGGTAAGCATATGGGTCTATGTGCTATTGCAGTGATGGAGATTCTTCAATATTCGCGAACCTCTCTGCATACTCGAACGGAGAGCTGTCTCTGCTAACCTGAACGAAGAAGACCAGTAGAAACCCTAAGCACGAATGAAGGAACGAAGAAGACCAGTAGGAACGAATGAAGCAAGAAGCCTGAACCCTAAGCACGAACAAACGAACCTGAGCGAACGAAGTAGAGAGTGGAGGCCAAAATTGTAGAAACGGACAAGGATATTTAAGATCGGTTATCTAAGAACCGATTTTGTATGTTACATACGAAATCGGTTCCTATATAACCGATCTTAAAAGTAGTAAAAAAGACATGATTTAAAATCAGTTAAATTGTGACCGATTTTAAAAATAATTTTTAAAATCGGTTATATTTGAACCGATCTTAAAAGTTGTGTCACACATACCTTTTAAAATCGGTCATAAAATAACCGATTTTAAAAGTACTTTTAAAATCGGTTAAATTTTAACCGATTTTAAAAATATTCATATTATTTACAAAATTGCCACCGCATCACTTTTAAGATCGGTTACCCTGTAACCGATCTTAAAACTCCGATTTTAAATCCAATTTTTGCACTAGTGTTCGCGGATGAGAAAGCGCAAGAATATTACTTCGAGTGGTACGCTGGTCGGAGAATCATTCCTCCAAAGACCCTGATGCTTGAATGGCTCAAAATAAGAATTAAAAATAAGAATTAAAAATAATAATTAAATATAATAATTAAAAATAAAAAATTTCCGACAGAATATTCCGTTGGAAATTTTTTGTCGAAAATTTTCGACGGATTTATTTTTCCATCATAAATTTCTGACGGAATTTTCCGTCAGAAAGTTTCCATCGGAAATTTTTGACGAGTTTATATTTTCGTCAGAAATTTCTGACAAAACTATATCCATCGGAAATTTTTCGTCAGAAATTTACATTTTTCTTGTAGCGACCCAAGTTGGTTTTTGAAAAGGCCCTTGAGGATATTTAAAGGAGAATGTTAAGTTGAATTATTTTTTTCAAATGTTCACATATCCAATCAGAGCACAACCCATCATTGAGGCCTCATCACCAACCTCCTCAACACTTTATCGATGATCACCTATAGGAATCACAAGAAAAACAACACAAAATATAAGGGAGTGAGAAACATCTTACTCTAACTCATGATACAGGAACGCAAATTGATTAGTCAAACACAAACAACACATGTAATAAGATGTAGAATATATAAATACACATTATAGTCATACTTGGTTCATTCATAGCATATTAAACAACAATAGATAAAATAATCGTGCATTATGCAATGAACACAAACTACATGTTAACATGCATGTGACACCAGTAAAAACATCACAATTGTGCATTGTTGCTAACAATACACTAGAGTAGTCTAGGAGTACATGCCGAGTCACACCCTTTATGCACTCTCACTAGAGGGACATACTATCAAGGTTTAGTTGAGATAGCTAAGTTGTGCAAGATATAACTCATGCTCACAAAGATATGATTAGGATTTCTAAACCAAGCTATCCTTAAGGTTGGTTCCCAAGTTTTTAGACAAGGAACCTTTCCTAATGGTATATTCCACATTGTACCCTTAAAAAACATTTTTTATACACATAATACATATCAGATAAACTTTATGCATTACATTTATATGGTTCCATAATTTCACATATTCATCATATCTCATTACTCATCATATACTTTGATATATTCATCAATAGAAATCAATTCATATCTACATCATTATAACATTACAAGAATTACATTGGATTACACAAAAGAACAATAAAAGAATCACATGCAGAATGGGGCCGAATGACACACATCCCGCGCTTACACAATACCTTAAAAGACCATATTGGCTTATGTCTAAATCGTGTCTAACATGACCAAGCTCATGCCCAACAAGAACCAGACTCTGCCTCTCTCTATAACAAATTCTTCTAAGATAAAAGTACAAAAAGGAAGAATGGAAGGAAAAAAATGTAATACTTGGAGTGCTAGACAAGCCCTGAGGACAAGAGACAGATCAACGATCCTTGAGGTATCAACAATGAAAGGAAGAAGAACCAAAAGGAAGGCGAAGCGAGAGGAGGAGAAGAAAGAGCATGAAACAACAAAGTGAGAATGTGGGAAAATGAGGAGACATTATAATCATTTGTGTCTGGGCATTTATAATAGAGAGATGGGGGGTCTGCGAGCGAAGCAACCTTTGCTGTAAGTTTTATTGTCCCGAGGAGTCTTAATGATGAGAAAAACGAAAAAGGCACCCCCCAATCCAACGGGTGTAAGCCAAAAGTGAAGAGACTTCTCGTTATGATTAGGTCCCTTGAAATACGAAATGCCTTCAGCACCTCGAAACATCCTCGTCGCCAAAAATTTGACATGGACACGTGGCATAAGTGCACATCGTACCAATAAGGTAAAAGAAATATCTTTATCACTCTCGTTGAGTTTAGAACTTAGGGGACTCATGTACCAACCAGGTCGAGTTAACAAATACAACTGAGAACACGTTGTGTCGAGGTGATACTTCAAGATAAACTCAGTAGCGATGACATTAGTATAACACATATTAGCTAATTAAGAAAACCTAGTCAATAAAGATAACTCAGTTATGCCATAGTCACGACATGATAACTGCAACAATCATCTTATCATAGACAAATGTGCGAATCAAAAAGATAAGGAGGAAGAGTTACGTATAATATAAGATAAGATATAAAATATACGAGAGATTAACTTGATCGTTGGAGTCTTTTCGACATATACTTTTCTCAATTCGAAAAGAGAAGAGGTATCGCACCATTGGACATCGAAATCTGAGAAGGAAAGGAAATCTTGGTTGAACACATGAGCGTCCAAGCTATTCTTGGTGAGAACATCTTTGAAAGGGAATCTCACTTGAATATATCGAAAAAAATTCAGATAATTAAATAATATATAAATAAAAAACAACTCTCAATTAATTTTATAAGATTTAATTAGACTTAAATTTATTATTTTAATAATATCAGCGTCCAAACTAGTTTTGGTGAGAACCCTTATAGTACAGACTACACCTACACGTGTTCTAGAAAAAACATCAATTCCATGCTCTATATTGAATGACAAAGATCTTTCTTCACTCAAGAATCGTTCAAAAGTCCAAACCACGTTATAGCAAGTCTTGGCAAACGCGTTCAAAGTCAACAAGTACAGCATCCGTCAAGACCATCTTCTTCTTCTTGTTCTTTTTTTGTTCCGTTCCAACTTTTGCCTCGTCCACTTCCCTCTGCAACACCCTCCACTCTCAATCGCCTCTCTTCTCTTATTACATGAAGAATCACGCGTTTCGCACCCTCTTCCTCTCCACCATTGTCCTCCTCATCTCCGGCGCAAGGGCAAAGTGTCCACCCTCCTTCGACTGCGGCAACCTCGGCACCATGCACTTCCCCTACACCGACACCAAACACCCTCTCTGCGGCCTGCTGGTCATACACGGTTGCGGCGACCGCGACCCCGACGCCATCAAAACCATCAAAAACAAAGGAACATGGTTCTACATCACGCGCGATCACGACACCGTTTTGTTCAGGGACGATGACCTCCGCACGCTCCTGCTGTCCAGAAGGTGCGGCGTCTTCAGCACCAACTACACCGGCTTGGACACCACCTCGCCTTTCCTTTCGCTCCGTTTCACGAACGTTACGCTGTTCAGATGCAACCGCGCGCTCAGCGTCACGCCGTCTTCGAACTCGTCGTTTTCCAAGTCTACGACGTGCCCCGATGATGACATCTTCTACGACACGGCTAATACTACTGCGGATGATGAGTCTCTGAGTTATTCTGAATTTGAAGCGTGTTCGATGGTTCGGCTTCCGATCAGAGATGCGGGGCTTGTGCCTAACCCCGATGGAAGCCTCTTTGAATACGTGTCAGCTGATATTCCTGTCCGTGTGGAGGTGTCGCGTGATTGTTCTTCTTGTTACTATCTTAGCGGGGGGCGGTGTCAACTTGATAACCAAGGGAAGTTCTTTTGTGCACAAGGTACCTATATATATATATATACATGGAAAAAAGTTTCTTCCTACTAGTTTTTATTGTGAAATGTCTTATAAAATTGGATTTGGGACTGGTTCTTACAATCCATTTGTAAAATAATTTTTCTTCTTCTAATATATTCTATTTTAGTCATATATAGCATCTATGTAGGACTTGATTTTTTCTAAAATATCAACTTACAGCATTATTAAATTTGATCCATGAATAAATAAATATAGATGTTCTTAATGTACACTTTAATGGTAAGGTGACAATCTTACTCTTAAAAATTAATTTTGTAAGATTAAATTAATTTTAAGAGTTTATTTGAACAAAAAATAGAAATGTTTTTCAATATATTTTAAATTATTTTTAAATTTGTATTCAAATAGACTTTAAATCTATTTATAAGGTTTAAGAACAAACATAAAAACTTAAATAACTTATATCTATGCAAACTTTAAATCTAATAGATTTTAAGTTTTACTTCATCAATGTGCTTATTAGTACTTGTAAATTAAGGGCTATAGAAACTAAACTTCCAGGATATTTTATGATCATACAAAGGCTGATTCTTATACAAGTGTCACCTATGAGTATCGAATGATTATTTTTACTGATCTAAATTATTAAGACTGTTCCTAGTTATGGTTTTAATGACTTTTTTTCGCCTTTTCTCTGTTTTGCAGAGAAAGCTAGTGAAAAGGTGAAGATAGTGGTAGCAGGTACAACGTTTTCTACCTTGATTATCTATGCCATTGCCTATTATTTATTTAACTTTGAACCTATGTTATTAGTTATCCTTATTCCATAGTAGGTTGAATCTCTTCTCTGGTTGATGGAGTTCTCTAATATAAGCCCATCATATTAATTCTAATGAAGACAACTGTGATTGAATACGAAAAAGGGGAGGAAAAAGCCAATATGAAAATACATTATCTTACAGGGTATAATTTTTTTTTTTTTTTTTCTGATTCTAACTTCTTAATGAAATAAACCTTCAGCTACTTCTGTTGGTGGAGCACTGGGAATTTTGATGGTCTTGGCTTGCATCTTACGAAGATACTGTGGCCACAAGGAGAATCCCACTTACCTGATGATTGAGAATTTTCTGAAGCAACATGGCCACCTTTCAGCCAAAAGGTACAGTTATTTGGAAGTAAAGAAAATGACCAACTCCTTCAGATACAAATTAGGCCAAGGAGGGTATGGTAGTGTATACAAAGGGAGGTTACAAAATGGAAGTCTTGTGGCAGTGAAGATTTTAAGTAAATTAAAAGGTGATGGAGAAGAATTCATCAATGAAGTTGCTAGCATTAGCATGACTTCTCATGTTAACATTGTCAGTTTACTAGGATTTTGTCTTGAAGGCTTCAAAAGAGTTCTCATATACGAGTATATGCCCAATGGATCTCTTGAAAAGTTCATATATGAAGAGAAAGATCCTTTGAGGCTTAAACTCACATTGAACTGCAGAACTATGTACAATATTTCCATTGGTGTTGCTAGAGGATTAGAGTATTTGCATAAGGGTTGTAACACTAGAATCTTGCATTTTGACATTAAACCTCACAATATACTGCTAGATGAGTTGTTTGGCCCCAAAATATCAGATTTTGGGCTTGCTAAAATATGTCCAAGAGAAAAAAGTACTATATCAATGCTGGTTGCAAGGGGAACTGTAGGATATATTGCTCCTGAATTGTTCTGCAGAAATTTTGGTGGAGTGTCACATAAATCAGATGTCTATAGTTATGGAATGATGGTCTTGGAAATGCTTGGTGCAAGAGAGATTAATACTAATGGCAGAGTTGATTTTTCAAGTGAAAATTACTTTCCACATTGGATTTACAGCCATCTTGAATTAAACCAAGAGTTTCAATTGCGATGTATTAAAAACCAAAGTGATAAAGAAATGGTGAGAAAAATGACAATAGTGAGTTTGTGGTGCATACAAACCGACCCTTCCAATCGACCTGCAATGAGTAAAGTGGTGGAAATGATGGAAGGAAACATTAGCTCGTTGCAAATTCCACCCAAACCTTTCCTTTCTCCATCCTTGGCATATTCTTCCCCTGAATCACAAACAATAGAGACATCATAGTTATTCACATACAACTTGAAGATGCAATCAATTTCAACAAAGTACAACTGCAGCTACTATCAGTTTTCTGGTGTGTATTGATTATAGTTCATTCATAACTTTTTATTACAATAGGAAAGGTAGGCATGTTCGTATTGCTGCATGCAAATCTCTATTGATTTTCAGGTTATTGAATTGAAATTCATAAATATCATTTTTATTACATTGCCTGCAATCTAAGAAAGGTTAATCTTAAATGTGGATATAGACCTTACTCAACTTTATAAAAGAGACTTGTAGAGTGAGAATTGTTTCTCTCACTCCCATTTATATACATTATTTTCATCATACGAACAGTCCTCACACCCAAGATCGGAGAGTTCAAGAACAAGAACTACCATTAAAATATACTATGACAATAACAATCCAATAATAGGTAGTTTGACAAGTTCAAAAACTATCATTAAAATATACTATGATATCATATTAGAATGTAAATTTAACCTAACTCAATTTTATCAATTTGTCTTGTTATATGAGGGTTATTTTCCACTATATACATTAATTTGATCTAAATGTGGGATCTTTAATGGCTATATAAAGTGGAATGCAAGTTGCACTTCCAAAAAAGAAACTAAGTTCAATTCTGAAGAAGGAAACGTTTGGGTGTGCCTACTAGTCACAACAGTGCCCAATTAATGTTTGTCTCATATTGATGCTTGTGGGGGAGATCCCTTGCTTGTTTCATTGGAAAGAAACCCTTCGAGTGAGGGTTTTTGAATGTGATATTTTAAAAAATTTGCAAGTGATTTTAATTCGTTCAAGTGTTCAACTATCCATGTGTACTTCAATCCTCCAAAAATTTATAGATCTATCCTTCAACTTCCAAAAGTGTGTCTTGGTTCTTTGGTGGAATTTCAATCAGAGAACCCAAAAAATATGCAACAAAACCGAATCAATGTGAATCCTGCAATTATCTTCCCTCTAATAGTAAAATTTGCAAATGTGAACTCCCTGACTAATGTCTATGCATAATCATACCCTCATGTTTCTCACCATCTCCTACAATTTTAAATATTTAAGTCAACATATATAACCACTTTCACCTAGTAATTTTTTCTTTAGCAACTCTGATGCATTGGTTATCATATGACTCCATGAACTAACTGTTCAGAACACTACTTATATTTGTCTGAGTTGATGCATACAAATGAATTTATCTTCATTTTAATACTTCAGTGCTTCCATCAAATTAAATATCTTTATCATCTTTATATCCTTCATTTCTGATAGCAAAGGTAGGAGGAGTGAATGTTGTTCTTCTCTTATTCTTCACCAAGTCACGGATCTTCTTCAAGGAGCTTGGAACCGAATGGATTGAAGACAAGATGGAAGATGAATCTCGGATTTAGAAAAGGCTTAAGCCTTGGATGGAAGCATCCAAGCTTAAGAAGCAAGGGAAGGCTCACTTTAAAGAGGAGGAAACCTAGTAGGGTTCCTGAGGTGAAGCTCACTTTCTCTCACGAAGACTTTGAAGGGAAACTCGGCACAAGGCTCTCAAATTTCAAATAATGTTCAAAGTGAGCTACAAAATGTGAAGGAGGCAATATAAAAGATCCGGTTTCAAGGCACTTGGCGCCAATGTGAAGGAGTCACATGTGGCGCCAAGTTTTGAATTCAAAATTCAAAAATTTTGAATTCAAAACTTCACACAAACATGTCATGTCCTGTCACATTAGGCTAGGTGCATTTAGGTGTGATTTAGGATGCATTTAGGGTTAATTTTAAGTCACACATGTTCAGCCAAGGTGGCGTGAAACATGTGACTTAAAATGCAACTTAAATGTATCCTAAATTAAATCTAGTTTAACCTAATCCAATTAAACTACTAATCCTCCTTAAACCCTAATCTAATGACCTAAATACAATAGTCAAGAAAATACAATGAATAGGAAAAATTACAAGAAGAAGAATGAGCCTAATATTGGGTATCAAAAGCCCAAAACCCAAGAAGCCCAAATATAAGCCCAAACACAAAAACCCTAATCTATGGTCATAATACAAGACCAAAATCAAAGTAACTTCTTATGCTAAGAAAATGCAATAAAACATGGTGTTCAATCAAGTAAGGTCCAAGTGAGAAGCACCCTAGGCCCACCAAGCCCATTGAGCTCACTAAGCTCTGAAGCAGACAAGTCTTCAAGTAATCTCCTGGCCATAGTTATAGTGGTTGGGCCTTTAGCCCATGCTCTTACATCAATTTCTCTGTTGTACTTTGAAGATATATAAGATTGTGGCTTCTGTGACATCACCGCTTCAAGCCTGGTAATTTTCAAATTTATCAGCATATACATCTGTTAGGCTGTTCTCTTCATATCATACAGTGAGGATTTAATTTCATGATCAATTTTTTGTGCCTAGTTGCAAAAATGAAAATGGGATAATTCAATAAAACATTTACCTAAGAAATTACTGTCGTATTTTTAATGCTAGACAGGCTGTTAGTTATATGGCGTTCGGATGACTATCCTAGCAAACCATGACTTTTATAGCTATGCGTTATGGTAAGGGTAAATTAGATAGGCACTCTCTTGAAATTACACACATCCAAGTCGATGCAACATATTATTAGACTTGAAATAAATCTTAAGGTGAGACTTTTTTAAAATTAATAAATTTTTTTGACAAAAACAATAAAAATATTTTAGAGATAAATCTTGAAAAAGAAAGTAACTATATTTATATATCTTTTATAGATATACCTTTTAAAATAAATTTTTAAGAATGAGAAAAATGACTTAAGTTGTTGGACCTTGAAAAAAAAATCGTATAAAATTTGGTATAAAATATATATTTTTTAAAAGGGTCTAAAGCAAGTGCCTTGTTAGCCTCATCCTTCAGTCAGCCTTGCACACATCCATACTTTTCCTACATTTATACTAACTCATTAATTGTTTGATAAACACTACACTAACACCCTTTTGACATTACATTAATCTCTTGATTGTTTAAATAAAATTTCATTGTGATCTGATTAAAGCTATGAAGCATGGATACTTCATTTTGAACTTAGCCACATTCAATACATATTTGATATTGAAATTCTTCAATATTTTACTGATATATATTGATGAAATATCCAAAACTTTAAAAATACTATACAAATTTTATTTTATTTGGATACTCTATGATAATTCACTAATAGTTATCAGTGATATGTATAAAAAAAGTATCAAAGTCTTAAAAATATTATGAAAATCTAATACGGCTAAATAATATATATAAACATGTTTGAGTAAAATAAAAATCAACATGTTTAATATAGAAAGATAGAAACATTGTCTTTATGCACTAAAAATGAAAATTGTCCTCTTTATTGATGATTTTCAAAAAGAAATGAGATTGATAGTATTATTTTTATTTGTAAATAATAGGAAATAATATATGATGAATTGATTTATTATATTTTTGTTTTTGTTTTTAGTAATGTACAATAACTATGTTTTGATTTTAGATTTGCAAAATTACAATTATATATTTATTATGTTTATGAATTTTAATCAAAATTGCAATTACACATTCATTATATTTTATAAACATTTATATATATAAAAATATGTATGTGACACATCATATCTTATATATTTTAAAATAATCGTATCGCTATATCAAATATGTCCTATCCAATATGGGTAACATTTCTGTGCATCATAAACTAAAAGGGAAGTTACTATAAATCTTAAAAAAAAAAAAAAAAAAAAAAGTATGCGTGCAATCTCACTAAACCTTATAGTTGTGTTAGAATAATTTACTGTTATGATAAGGTCACACTGGACACAAATTAAGTCAGAATCACCTCTTAGTATTGAGTTCCTTATAATTTGTCAAGATTGGTAGCAATGTCCCAAGTTACTGAGCTCCGAAATTTGTCTTTGCTTTCCCCATATAAATTTCAAAGAAAGCCATCCCAATTTTGTGTTGTTGCAGGCAGCAGAGTTACACTGCACTAAACTTGTGTTGAGATAGTGAGAACTCACCACCTTCACCTACACTTCGAATTCCTGAATTCCATACACAGTTTCAAGTCCTACGCCGAATGAATTTATCACTCACTACCATTACATTTTTTTTTACCAACACAGTGACTGCTATAGAACTTCTCCATCTCATTGTTGATGTGTTTATAGCATGATTTGTTTAGCGTTTATAAAGTTAGATCCTTGTGAATTTAGAAGCAACGAAGTCTGGCTTATGAGTTTTCCAATCCACATCATTTGAGTTGGTGAAAAAGAATTTACCATTTTTCTAGGCTGAGAAACAACTGAAGACTTTCTAAGCTTTAAAGGATAAACTCTCCAATACACCTATACTAGTTATCCTTGATTTTTCTAAAATTTTTGAGCTAGAATGTGATGTATCAAGAGTAGGTGTGGGAGTTGTGTTGGTTTTTAGTCTTGTAATTTTCAAATATTTTAGTGTCTCAGGTCACCAATAACATATTTGAATGTGATAGATTAATATAGTTATGCACCATCAGGTAGGTTTATTGTGATGTTTTCAATAGTATGGATACTAGTAAATAGATTTTATGCGATAGTATTTAACACATTCTTAACAAAATTTGCAGTATAAGGACTAAAATAAAATTTTTTGAAATTAAAAGAGTTAAAAAGACCCGTTTTAAATTTGAGGGACTAAAATCAAATTTACCTTAAATTTAAGAGACTAAAAACATATTTAAGCCTTAATTTTATAAAACAAAATAATGATGTATTAATTT